AAATAAACTGATGAATGAAAAAAACTAATAAGTCAGATGGCACGATTAGAAGTAGTTTTAAATATTTGAGATTCTTTAAAAATTTCTCTAACACAACAATTAGCTTGATGTGCAAAACATGGTAAAAATACTATTTTGCGATGAATAAGTTTTATTTGACGCCTATTAATAAATAACATTTAATTAAAATTTATAAAAAAAATTAAATTTGTTTTAATAAAAATTTATAAAATACCTAGCAGATGCATAACCTCCAGCAGAATCTGTCACTAATGCATTTATTTGAATATTTTGCGATATTGCTTTTTCAATAAGTAATTCTATTCATTTAATTACTTCTTCTGCATATTGATGTTCTCCACTTATATTTTCTGTATCTCATACAAGAACAGAGCCATTTGAAGTAATTAAAATAACACCCATTATCTCTTATTCTACTACATTTTTCCAACCATCAAAAGTTATAGTTACTCTAATTTTATCATTTGAAGCAAGACTTTGGATGTTTGATTGAACATCATTAATTGTTGCATTTAAAATCTAATCAGCAAGAGTATGATGATCAGGTAATACTAAAAGAGGTGAAATAAACTTAAAAAAATCTCAGGTTTCATAATTATTAATATAATAAAAAGGAAATCCATTAGATACAGTCATCCAAATTAATTTTTTTTTCAAACATTGAAATTTCTGCTGTAGTTAACGGTCTTTTAATATATTGTGTAATTTGAGTTTAGTTATATTGTAACTTTTTAGCTGACAATATAGTTTTTTCATTTAAAATTTTAGATTCGTCATTAATTTCTAATTAAAATAAATAAATAAATTAAATTAATTTTTTTAATATTTAAATAAAATTTTAATTTAAAATTACTAATAAATTGCCATTTTTTAGTTATTATTGTTGTATTAAATTTTGATAATGCTAAAATTCTATTAACTTCGTTTAGTCTATGCTCAGTCAAAAAATTTTGACAAGTTTGAAGAGATTTGTAATAATAACGTTGAGTATTTGTAATTATATTATTTTCATCTTTTAATAAGAAGTCTCATTCTACATATTGAATACAAAATAAACAAAGAGCTTTCTTATTATTTTTATTTGCTTTTTCATTGTGAAATATTTCAAACCATAAAGTTAATGGATGCAGCGCTTTTCCTCCTACATGTGTCATTATACTTTGAAATGAGATTTTATTAATAATCATGTGATTTTGGATCCTTTTATATTCTAATCTTTTTATTTAAGTTTAATCAATATTTGTAATACGTCAATCACAATGAACACAATAGACAATGCAATGGATACAATGAAAAACTGTCCATTGTCGATTGTTATATCAATGGATATGTCTATTGCCAACACTAGCTCTCACTACTATAGTTATTAAAAAAAACAATATATCATATTCATTAAAAAGGATGTCTTTAATTATGAAACAATCTCCTAAAAATTATATAGCATCTCATATTTATCAATTGATGAGAACAGAATTTCTTAGATGAGTTATTTTGATAACTCAAGAACCTCCTAATACTAGAGTTGCCAATTCTGATGCTCACTCTCTAAATATTTCACTAATTACAAGATACATTATAGATAACTATTATCAGGATAATCTCATTAACTTATTCCAATTATATAATAATCTTAATACACCTATTTTCTATATAAATGGTTCCCTTTCTACTCCAACTACAGTAGATTATAAAATGGGATTAGGATAGATCTGCTCAAATTCTAATAGAAACCAACCAATTTTCTTTATGACAGCAGTTGCTCATTCTCCTTCATCTATTAGAGCTGAACTTTTTGCCCTTTTTTTTGCTCTTATTATTTGTCCTTAATTTTCTTCACCTACAATTTTTCTTAACAGCTAAGTTATCATTGATGGATATAATAACTTTTGCTTGAACAACAATTACACAACAAGAACTCATGAAAAAATATCTAATTACACTATTTGGATATTAGTTAATCACATATTACTAAATTACATCTCTCTGTTAAATTAATAAAGTTAAAAGATACTCAGGAGATTACTACAATGATATAGCTAATGCATTAGCAAAGCTGGATGCTTTATTGCCACTTTTACTTCTTGATTACATAGCCTTTAATGATTTACAACTTCTCTTTAACTTTAGATAGGTCCCTATAGAATCTTCAACTAGAAAATTCTAGAAACATATGAATGTAGCTAAACAATTCTCAACCTTCATGAATTTCAACAGAAATTTTATATTAACTCAACATACTCGTTCTTCTAAAATTTATTGGCCCACCTTTTTTTCTGTTTTTGCTTCAAATATGAGTAATGCTTCTACTATCACCTCTTTTATTCAATAATGAAGAAAGAGTTTTAAACTTAAATCATTAATTGAAGAACTACTTACAGTGAACAGACTTTTAGTTAGACGTCTTGATCTATACAAGAACTGGTTATGTACTTTCTGCATATAACATAATAAAGATTATGACTATTTATGAAATTGCTCAAGTAAATTACAAAATGTTAAAGATACCTGTATATCAACTTGTGATTTCCTTTCTAAGTTAATTATTGATAAACTTGAAAAGAATGATAATAGACTTAACCTTTATCTTTTTATGAAAAACAAGCTAATGGAATATTTGGACCCTTCTTTCTATAATACTACTTGTATTCATTTAGCCAAAGGAATAATCTCTAATAGTATGCTAATACTGTTAAAGGAACTTTTTTCTCCTTTCAATGCTAAAAGTCTTTTAGTAGATATCTCCAATTTTTTTATTACTACATTTTATAATAACATCTGAGTCCCTAGGTATAAAAAATGATTGAAGAAGTAAGAAAATTAGGAATCTCTAAAAGATTAAAAAAGAAAAAAGTCAAGATTAAATGTTCAATCCAGACAAAAACACTTAAAAATCTGTCATACAATTGGTCAGAGTAGACGTTATCAGTTATAAAATTTGGTTTCTCTTGAATAGATTTCCTAGATAGTACTGATAGTTTCATTTGAATATCTTGCTAATGACTTAATCATTAGATATGGATCTTTTGGTTTATTCTGAAGAATATTCTAGTGATTGGTCAATCTAAATAGATTTGTAACAGAATCTTAAAGGATAGTCTTAGTTTAATTTTTTATTGTTTTTACTCTTAAATTAGTTTTTATTTTTTATTTTCTATTTTTATTTGTAATAATCTAACATAAATATAATAAATTTTTTATAATTGATTATCTTATTAATAAAATAAGCAAATAGTCTATCAAAATTTTTTATTTTTTGTAACATCAGTCAAAAAATCTAAAATTAGATTTTAGATATAATTAAAATTATTATTTATAAAGTTAAAAAAATTTTTAGATCTTTATAAAATTTAAAATTTTTTTTTATAAATATATAATTTTTCTTTTAAAAATTAAATTTTTAATAATTAGTATCATAATGTTCTATAAAATAATTTTAATAGTTTAGTTCCTATTTATAAGAGAATTTTATAAACTAAATATTATATTTTTATAATTATTAGATGAAAAATATTATACTATTACTTTTATAAAAAATATTAATAAATAATTATATTTAATTTAAGATTTAAAATTTTATTAATTTATTAATTTAACAAATTTTGTATAAAATTAGTAAATATTTTCTCTGAAAAAGTTGATCTTTTTAAGTTTAATGCAATTGATTTAAAATTTTAAATAATTATTACTTTTAATATGATCTACAAATTTACTTAATCAAGCTAAAAATTTGTATTAAAATGCGAAAATTTAGATAAAATCCATTACCGTATAGTCCCTAAAATAAGCACCATGTGATATATATGAATTTATCAGTATATACGTGACTAATAATATAATAAATTCCATGTGACAAATAAATAAATTACTATAAAAGGAGCGTGTCACGGGGTGCTTATTTTCGGGACTATACGGTAATTATATTTTTATAATGATTAAATTTTTATAATAGTTGTAAGTTATGTATATTGTATTTTTAAAAAAAATTTTATTTATTGTATAAAAGATAAGTTTATTATAAAAAAAGTATGATTAAACAATACTTTTTAGATGATCATTTCTATTTTAAGGTGACTAGTGATTTGTTGCTAAACACTGTAAATTATAGCGATAAAATTCATAAATAAATTTAATAGGATGTTATTCATATTCTAAGTTTATACATGATGTAAATAAAGTTAATATCAGAAAAAAAGACTTTACTCAGCACTAATTTCTTTTTGATTAATAATTTTCATAAAAATTTATCATATTTAAAATGCGTCACGTAAGTGAGTCTTTTAAAAAAAATTGTCATTTACTTACTACCCCAAAATTTATATTTTAAAATGTAGTGTTGATTAAAAAAAAATGACGATAATTTTTTACTACTAAATTGAATTAGTAATCACTTAAATCAGATTTTGTATAATGCAATAAGGTTTATTCTGCAATCTGTAGCTCGAGATTACGATTTTTTACAACATTTTTATTTTTTTTTAAAAAATAATAATAATTAGACCATACCTCGATAATTATTTAATTATTTATAGATAAAGCAGATAACCTAATAGACAATGCTTCACTAAAATACTTTTTTTTATTGCCATGATAATACGGTATAGATTTGCATGCCATATATAATAACCAACATAAATAAAAAATTTTTTTTATTTTTCTTTTCTACTGCAAAAAATTATTTACATGCATAAAAAAATTAGCCGCACATCATGCATTAGCCGGATTTAAGTAATATTATTACGCGTAAACCTTCAAAAAAAATTTTACAATTTACTTTAAGAAAATTGAAAAGAATATTTTTATTAAAAAATTTTTAAATATTTTAAAATCTCTACTTTAAATTTTCTTATAAAATTTTGAATAAATAAAAAAGAAGAAAAAAAATTAAACTCGAATATCGTGAAAAGCGAAAGTGTTATCTATAAAAGATAATTAATTATCATTAACGCGATGAATCTTATTTTTATTTACATGAACTCTTATTACCTACCAATATGTACGCTTATTTTAACATCTTTAATATAATTACCAAACTGATATTTTAAGGGTAAGAAAACCCATTGAAAAATTGATCCAACGTAGAATTATCATCAATAATTTGCTGAGGCAGGTTTGCGATTCTACTCAAAGTATCTAGATTATTAATAAATCGAATGCGCCTTTGACGATTTTGTCGACGAATTACTCTGTTTGCATTTTGTTGTCTTCGTTGAATTTGTCTTCTTTGAAACATTTTCAATTTTTTTATTATTATTGGTAAATGTTTAGTAAGTGGTTTAGAAAAAAAAGCCAGACTATTTATAAGAATATTTCCAGTTTTTGAGGTAACTTTATATGGATATATTGATCATAGATAACAAAATTGAGACACGATTAAAAGATTAATTATATAAAAAAAAAGATTTTATTAAATAAATCCAGTAGTCTCATAAGTTACCAACGTTATCTATGCCGCTTTTAACCGAAGGTAAAACATTGAAACAATAGTAATTAATGTGATATTCTTGAAACGAATAATTTCTTGAACCTTAAAAAACTATTTACTCGTGCCATTCCTTTGCCAATTTAATTGCATATGAGATAAAGATTCCGTTTTATTGTTTGCACTCTCCAATTAAACAAAGGTCTCGAGGAGTACTAATTCAATATGAAAACTTAATTTTTGTTGCGAAAAATTTTACTGTAATTCTTTAACCAATTTTAAAAAACGCAGGACGTGACAAAAAGGATTAAATTAAAAATGCAAGATGTTTATATACTAGCAAAATTAGATCTGACAAAATTTTAATTCTAGAAGTACGTTTATTTTAGTTAAAATGTTAATTTGGTAGCTTGGAAAGAGTCAACTTCAGTATGTATCGATAGGGTTACACAAATGAAATTTTATCCAATCAGTGCTCGAACATATGGGAGGTAAGCTATTAAAATCAACTTACGGATCATATGATTTACTATGTTCGTAACTCGATTTTAATAGCAAACCTCCCATATGAAGTTCGTCAATAACAATATTTTTGTTAAGTCCTTTAAGCCGTGAAATTACTACAGAAATGGTAGTTTCCTTGATATCTAAATCATTAGCAGCAGTAAATTAAGTTATCTGTTATTTTCATAAGTATCCTCTGCCGGAATTGATCGTTGATAGACCCCTAAGTCTAATCTTAATTTGGTCTAGGAGGAAATGAGAAAATTGGTGCACTAAAATCGATGTATTAATATTTTTAAATTCTTTTTCACATTCCGGAGTAATAATTTATCACGTGAGGACCTGCAGAAAGGAAGTGGAACAATTCCATATCATTCTCATTAAAGGCATTTCATTTGCTAAATGTTTAATCCTCCTTCTATAAATATGTATGTAAACACTGAAATAGGTAAACTAACCCATTTAGATTTTTATTGTTTTTTTTTGAAAAGTGCGAATTCTGTCGGCATCTAATTGTCCGAAGTTATGTTCAATTTTCAATTCTATTAATTTTTGTGCGACATGTTACAGAAAACGATAGCCGATAGGACAATTCCAATCCGAGGCTGGTGGGAAGAGGATGAGAAGCGCTCCATGCATAACCAAATCATTGACATCATCGCATATATTTCTGTATCCAATTTCTTTCCACAAATTGACTAGATCAGGGTGAATAAGGATTGCTCTCGCAATCACATTAAGTTGTCTATTATTTTCATAACCATCGTTTGGGGGGTATTCTTCTGGAGTGGGTTATAAATGTTAGGATCACTATTTTTGTCTAATTGTAATTTGGTCTAGGCGGAAATGGAATAAACATATGAACTAAAATTAATTCTTCGATATTTTTTAAATTCTTTCTCGACATCCCAGGAGCATAATTTATTACGTGAGGTCCTGCTGAAAGGAAGTGAAATAGTTCCATAATAATCTAAGTTTTTAGACAATTTTTTTTTTTTTTTTTTTTTTTTTTTTACTATTGAAGTTATTGACGGAAGCGAAATAAGCTTTATTTAAACAAATTCAGAATTCCAAATATAGCATTTGATTTTAATTGAAGATCATGCCATAAAAAATCACGGTTATAAATTTTTGACTCAGTCCCGACTTGGTTCCTCGGAGTAAAATTGTACAAATAAATGAATCTTTCAAAAATTCTCAATTTGGATAAATAATAAAGAATACTTTAAAATTAAAGAAAAATATATCGTCAAGCCATTTTCTTAGTACGTGTTACTTTGCACAAATCTTGTTCTATGAAAGATGAAACAGAAAAAAATACCGAGAAAATTGATGTAATTTAGCATTTCAATATTATTCATTGACTATACAAAACTTTGACATTTCCAATTTTGATTAAAATAAAGAATTTAGGAAACAACTTTTACTTTTCTTCATTTCTGTTTCTGACAATCAAAAGTTTTCGGTTTTTTGAAAGCGTCAAAAAGAAAAAAATAAAATAAAATAAAATAATTACGTTCAATGTGATATACAATCATAAATACCTTTGTTTCCTTGAGAGTGTGAGCGTAAAAAATTATATCTTTTTTAAAGTGACAACGTTAAAAAGAATCTGGTTATAGTATTATTATTTTTGAAGCGTTAATAATATTTATTAGTTAATATTATTTCAAGCAATTTTTACCGTTTTAGATACGGGGTTTTTTTTTTTTTTATATATATAGATTAAATTTTTTTTATATGTATTTTATTTGTATTATTATTAAGGTTAAATCAATCAATCTGTAGATCTCTTACAATCTCTTTTTCTTAAAAAATAAAATGCCGATAATCATTGTACATGTTATGTTTATTACTAAAACAGTATTTGAGTGGGAAGGCTTCCTGTTAATGAGGATATGAATATAGAAGAACTTTTTAAAGATGTTGTAGCCTTGAGGTAATATTTGAGGTTGTGCTTTTCTAGGAGTAATCGATTTATAAATGAATTTGAAACTAAGTGTATAATAATACATGGCGTGTATTTATACTCGAGATAAACATTTTGTTACCATATTTAGCAAGTTTGCTTTTATAAGCTCTCGATAAGTTTATTCTCAATCTCAAGTATGTGATCTCTGTAAATGATTTTTAATATATCTATAGGATGCATTTTAATGTACTTTCAAAATCGCCGCATCCTTAAAGGTAAAAGTATTTGCTATTCGTATTCTTACTGTTTACTAGAAATTTATGTTAAAATAAAAAAAAATTATTATTAATGAACAAATAAATTTTTATTAAAAACATTCAACAAAGACTCGTACGTTGCTAACATATCTAAATTAAATTATGACTGTTTTGGCTAGGTGACCAAAAAATTTGACTGCATTTTCTGCGTACACTATCTTATATTCCTTTCAATCATTCCGAGGTCAATTTTTTTTATTAACGGACTTCATATTTCATAAAAATCTTTTTATTGATTTATACTATCATTCATCTTATTCTTTAAGGTTCGTTATCATACATACTGTGGTAATCTGTTTCGACGTTTTTAAATTTCGTTAACGTATCGGGCTCATTGTTCAACGAATTAAGTTTAGATCCATTTGCATTAAAAAGACTGCATGTGAATGAATTATTGTGCACTGAAATCCAGAACATGTGACGGGAGGGCAGACTTTTTGTATAAAATTACATAAAACATAATTTTCATAATGATGTATTATGGAATCGTGGTAATTGTGATCATATTTGCAATTTAAAATTCTTGTGAAAGTGATTTTCGAACAATGTCAACAAAAGAATGGTAGTCAGTATAGTGCAGTGAAGATCTAAGAACATTCGTGAGAAAAAAAATCTTTATTTTTAATTTGATACATATATTATTAGAGCGTGTAAAAAGAAAATTTGCTAATAAACAAATTTTAGTATATTTAAATTATGAAAATTTTCTTATTTACGAACGTTTTGATTTGACGGCAGCGATGCATAATAGCTTTATTTATAAAATTGAAAACTAAAGTCAAATTATTAACGTTTAATATTATTAAAATCACATTATTATTGTTTATTTATGTTGACGAGATTTTAAGATAAGGTAATTATTGTAAAGGATTCATGTAAAAATCTTGTAATTCTGAGAATTAATTTGCTCAAGTTTGTCCAAATTTTATCTTTCTATTTGTTTTTAAATTTAGAAAAATTTTAGTTCAAAGTTATCAAATAAGGGTTGAATGATTTATAAATTCAATAACTTTGATTGTTCTGGTTATGATATATTTGCTTTGCTGTATATTTCAATTGAAAAGCCAAAAGCCAATTTTATAAGTTCTTCAAGGAGTGCAATTACGGTGGGAGATCCGAAATTGGATGTGATGATCACTATTTATACTCTTTCCCAAGGGACATAATTTATCACGTGAGGTGCGGAAAAGAAAGTATCTTCCCCAGTACTTTTTCACTCCACGTTGAATCTATATAATTTTTTGCCGTGTCCCAAACCCTACGTTTTTATTTTTCATTTTTACTATGAATTCTAGGGACAGAATTTTTTTGGTGTGAAAATTCTATTTGTTACCTTATTTGTCACTCGGATAATTTCGGCAAGTTCAGTAATGCCGGCTAAAAAATCACATGGGATGAAAAAAGTGTTGACGAAGATAAAGAAAGTGAACCGCATTTCCTTTAAAGGAATCTCATTTGATAATAGTTTAATTTCCTTCTAATAATAGTAAAAACGTTATAAATCAATTGCTTGCCCAGGAGATTTGATTTTGAATGTGCGAATTCTGTCAGTCCAATTGTTACATACGGTTAGCTTAGGACACATTTTCATTTACAGTATGTTGCCTTGATACATTTTGGTAGATATGAGCAAGAATTTAAAAATCGAAAATAAGGATCTTTGGCGTTAATGCTAAATAAAGATGGTTATTATTTTAATTTCATCAATGAAAAAATCGAAAATTTGATTTTACAATATAATATTTTTTAAATTTTTTTTTCAAGGTGGCAAGCTTTTATAATAAATCATTTGTTGTTTTGTAAAAATCACTATCAAATTTCCTTAATCTAAATTTTAAGATCAGCAGTTTTATGCCAAAGATATTAACGGAATAAATTGTCCTACATTTTAAAGCAATGATTTCATATATTTTAATGAACACGAAAATAGTTACTTAAGGCTGACTTACATAATGAACGTAATATAGCATTTTAATACGACGATCCATAAAACTGATAAAGGGAGCACTTTGTTTGCTTATAACAGGACTGTTTGCGTTGGGGATTTGGGGAAAACACGAGATTATCCAAAGACAGAG